TGGAGCGTGTGCAAATCTTCAAATTTAAACCTTCCAGGCTGTGAAAAACGCCTGCATGGTTACACTTGAGTTAGAGATCTAAACTATAGTTGTAATCACATAAGTCTGTTGCATCTCCCGTTACACACAATATTGATTTTATCACACACACACACACACACACACACAAAATGTTGCCTTTAAAACTTTGGAGTCAGGAGAAGCAACCATGATTTTCTTGCTTCCCTTATTTTGTTTTATTTATTTATTATTTTATTAGGGGCTCATACAACTCTCATCACAATCCATACACACATCAATTGTCTAAAGCACATTTGTACATTCATTACCCTCATCATTCTCAGAACATTTGCTCTCCACTTAAGCCCCTGGCATCAGCTCCTCAATTCCTCACTTCCTTCTTTTGTTTTAGGGGCCCACAGAAATAAGGATGATCTGACTTCCGAAAACGGGAACAAAGGCCGAGTAAGAGAGCCTTTTTAGGAGCCCTGGTGGAGTAGTAGGCTACACTCTGAGCAGCTAACCACAAGGTCTGAGGTTCAAACCCACCAGCTGCTCCATGGGAGAAAGATAAGGCTGTCTACTCCTGTAAAGATTCAAAGACTTAGACACTCAAGCGGTCGGTTCTGTTCTGCCTGCAGTGTTGCTGTGAGTTGAAATCGGCTCGGGGGCAGTGGGTTTGCAGGTTTGTCTGTGAGGTTTAGAGCCTCAGCGTTGAGGGGCTCTCTTCTTGTTCTCCATCTCCCCTCTGCTAACCGCCGTGCCTCAGTCTGTGTGACTGTGTATTAGCCAGGCAAGGGCAGATGAGGCCTGGCTACTGATAGCGAATATTTTCCTAAAAGTTCTTCCCACTGGTGTCTTCTGGGAAAGAATCCTAATCCCAAGGGTGAGAAGGTTGGATTCTAGGGAAATCCAGACTTTCTGGAGCGATTGAGGCTGGACGAACCCCCCAAATGACTTGCATTGAGATAACTTTTAAACCTTAAAAATAAATGTCTGCTGAAGTCTTCATTAAGCCAAACAACAGCCTAGTTAGGAAGGATTGAGCACAGTGCTCGGTTTTGAGGGTGGTGCTCTTTTAAACAGATCTCTTCATGGGATCAAACAGGCAATAGCAACTCAAAGGGATCCACGCTAACTTTAGGAGCAGCGAGTATAAGGTAAGGAGAAAGAATGATGCAGAAAAGAGGATGCCAATGGTTGCACTGTTAGAAGTCTGTCAGCAACGCCGCAGAATTGTACATGTGAACAAATATCAATTGTACGTTTTTCTGGGAGTATTTTTTAACAAGAACACAATGTTTTTTAAAAAGGATGCTTTTCTGTGTCTCAGAAAACACCAGTGGGAAGACAATTGGATCAAAGAGAAGCTCACACGTCATGACTTATGTGGGGCAGGCAGCAGTGAGGAGTGGCTTTTCTGACTTGTGTACTTGCTTTCTTGAGTCCTGGAGCACTCAGCATTAGATTTGGTGCAGATACCAGGAAATCCAAAATAGGGGCTTGAGGTAGTTAGTTCATTGTGCCAACCTGGCCGATAAACACATGTGGAGTTAATTGCAGGGCGGAAAGAGAAATGGCTTGGTGAGCCTCATCTTTCTAATACTCGGGTCTCTTGCTTTGTGATGGTGGGACTAGGGTGCAGCTGCCTCAGCCAGTTCCCTGCTTCAGCTGGCAAGGCTCACTTCCTGCAAGACATCCATGAGGAGAAGCCACATGGACCTACCCTGATGCAGCCCTGGGGGCTGGAGCAGCCGTGCGGAGACCCCTGCTAGCGCTGAGATGCTTACACATTCACTGACTCGGCTTTCCTCCTGCAGTCAGCATCATTGAGTGTGTTTTGTGAGATGGAAGAGGACTTTGTGGATTGGTGTTGGACATATGGGTTAATGTTTTACTTGTGGGCTTGGGCAGCACTGGGTTGGGATGGTTTCTTGATGTGCACTTAACCTTTACATAAAACTCTCTCTTATACATGAGTTTCTGTGGATTTGTTTCTCTAAAGTACCCAGACCAACACAAGGCTTCTGTTCAAGACATTGTGTTCTGTCACATGATACGAGTTTGATGGTAGATCACCACAGGAAGCCACCTCAGCCCCAGGCTCCCTCTGTCCTTCTGTTCTGCGGTTGTTTTTCCTTATTGTGAGTTGGGTGAAGGCTGACAGGGCAGGTCATCAGCTTCACGGTCAACAATTCGTGTACATTTTGTGACAAGGCACCCATTGCAACCTCCCCAACGTACCGCCGCCTGCCCTACGTTCTCCCTGTGTTTCCTGCTTCCGTTTGCCCTCTTCCCTAATCTCCAAACGTTGGCCGTGGGTAAAGGCTGTTTTAGATCGTTCGTTATTCTAGTACAGAAGTGAATTTAGTTCCAGACTTGAAGGGTGGCGAAGGGCCATAGTCTTGGGAGTCCTACAGTCTCTATCAACCTGTACGTTTGGTCTCTGTTATGATTTTGAATTTGTTTCCACATTTCTCTCCCAATCTATGCAGGATCTTTCAAAGTGATCCTTTCCAGAGCAGTTGCTAGTGGTAGCTGGGCACCATCTAGTTCTTCTGGTCTCAGGGTTGTGGGGACTGCTGTTTCTTTAAGTGGCCGGTCAGTCCATGGGACTAACAGTGTGTACGTGTCTTTTGATCGCCATCCCTCGTCTTTCCTGCAGACAGGGAGAGATCAGTCGTTGTGCCTTAGGTAGCTGCTCATGAGCTTTTAAGACCCCAGTCCATGCTCACCCAAGTAGAATGTAGAACAGTGTCTTTGTGAACTATGTTAGGACGATTGACCACTCAGCTTTGCTGTTCTTATTATGTGGCCTCCTTTCTCAAGAATCGCACGAGGTTCAGAAAGGCCGCCTTTCTTGCCTCTCTTGCCTTTATATTCACATTTCAGACTGCAGGAAGGATGAGTGGGGAGAAACGAGAGAGAGATTTACTCGATTAAACCTCACACCCAACTTCCTTTGCTTAGACGTTATTTTCCTAGACTTGAACCACGTGGTTGCATTCAGCTATGACAGAAGCAGGAAATGTAATCTTTCACGAGGCACATTCCACAGTAAAAAAGAATACAGACTTCGTGAACGAGGAGGAAATGGATCCTTGGGATGGAAATGGTTGTCTCTCCCACACGTCTTCTAGTGCTTTCTTTCTGTTGTGCCCACTCCCATTCAATTGCTCAGTCATTAGATGCGCGCTAGGCTTTGGAGAGGAGGTGACCATGTAAGACACTAACCATCCTTGCCCTCAGGTAGTTAGCAGTGTGTGTAGATAGGTACATGTGGGGAAAAACATAAGAATCACAGTAGTAATACTTTTTTACTTACCCTGATGCAATGATATATTTTGTAACAATACATCTTTTTTACAATAAGAGGCAAATGACTCATGAATATAAAGACCTTCTCCTCAGTCTGTGGGAGTTGAAGTTATGGCCTTCAGAGGGACTCGGGGATGGGTGGCTGGGGTAGGCTGGCTATAGAAACAAGAGATGTCCGTTCAAGAGAGCCCAGTGCTGAAGCTGGGTAGCCGGCCCTTTGCCTCGCCCTTACACTGCATCTACTCCCCACATCACATTCCCGGCCTCTTCCTCATGGGTGACAAACAGTCTGCTGTGTGCATAACCAGAGGGACTTAAGCAGTTAAGAAGACTCTTGCTCTTGAGGAGCCAGAAGGAGCCAGGAGCCCTTGCTGCTGCTGTATGGTGGGGAGTCGAACACTCCTGAGCCCCACTGTGTCCCCAGACATGTGGTTTTGCTTCAGATGATTAGGCGCTTGCTGAATGAATTTTAATGTGATAACACGATACTCAACATAAGATCCCAGATTCTTGGCTTATTTCTTCTGTAATTAAAATAATTATAAAATTATGCTAAAGCCAGGCCTAATACTATAGCCTTAAATCCTACTGAAACATGAACTATGCTGATTACATGACCCCTGTGTCTGGTATCTTCATGGGAAGCAGGGCAGCAGAGTGGTCAGACCATGGGCTTTGAATGAGACTGGTTGCCTGGATTTGCTTCTTAGCCTTTTGTCTGCCACTGGGGAGAGTAAGGCAGTTCTAGGAGCCTGGTGGTACTGTCAGGTAAGCATTAGACTGCTAATGGCAAGGTCGATGGTTCAAATCCACCAGCCGCTCCAAGGGAAAGAGGTGAGGCTGTCTGCTTCCATACAGATCCACAGACTTGGAAACCCTTTACAAGGTCGCCATGAGTCAGACACAATTTGACAGCCTTGAGTTGAGTTTGAAGGCAGTAGAGGTGGAGTCTCTGGCTAACACAGAGGGTTACGTGCTCTACAATTTACTAATAGGGCATTGGACCAAACCTACTGAGACGTGCCTTGTGGGACCAAGACCTGGAAATCGGAAAGGACGCAGTGATGAAAAAAAATAGTCTACCAGGTACAATTGTACTCAGACCCTGTAGAGTGTAGAGGTCCCCATGAGTCAGATCAACTTGATGGCAACTGTTGTTGCCTTTGTTTTGCTTTATAGGGTAGGGGAGTCATTAAAATACGTGAATGCATGTGAAGTGCTTAGAGTAAAGCCTGGTCCTGAGCAGATGCTTACTAAGTAGCTGGTTCTAGTTAATAGAGGCATTGCAAGGATGAAGACGTGGGCCACTATCTTCAGGGAACTTGCCGGTCCGGTGGGGAGGCAGAGGTAGGGCAGTGCAGACGAACAGACAAACGCCTGCTCATAGTAGGAGTAAGCCACTTGTGCCACAGGGGCCTCAGTGACCTTCTGGAATCCTGGCCTGTGTTCTGTGTCGGTGGTGCCTGTGCTGGGCTGGTTCTGAATGCCCCTGCTGGCCCATCGCACCTGCACCTCACCTATGTGACTCCTGTAGCGTGCCAGAGGCATACGTCCTCAGAAGAAGGTCTGGGGCGGCTGTGTTCAGCAGGGAAAACCACGGCCATGCTCATGACATTTGCTAAAACGCCCATCCCTGAGCCCACGCGTCCTTTGAATGGGTTTCCTGTTTGCTCTCCTTACAGAAGGGTTTGCAAGGAGGAAGAAGACTTCCCTTTGGTTTGCTGTCTCTCTACTGGTGGTGTCCACTTTCATCCTGACCATAGGCCTTGCTGCGACCACCAGGACTGAGAATGTGACGGTGGGAGGCTATTACCCAGGGATCATTGTGAGTATGGCTAAGTAAGGCTGTTCTGGGGCCCTGGGATTCATTGTGAGATGCTGGGGTTGGAGAGGCCAGGGCAGGACAGATTCCTGCATGCCCGGGGGTGTGTGGGGGTGTGTGTGGGGTGTGGGGGTGTGTGGTGGGGGGGTGTCACGTTCAAGTCTGACTCAGCAGAGCGGGAGGTCTGAGGCACTGAAATGGCTCTCTGTATTTGTGGTCAGCAGAATAAAGGCCCGTCACCCAGCATGCTCACATCCTCGTCTCTGAAACCCGAGGATATGTTACTCACATAGCAATGAGAAATTCAGGTGGCAAACCAAAAAACCAAACCAGACCAGCCAAACTCACTGCCATCGAGTGGAGGCTGACTCATGGCGACCCTGTAGGACTTTTTAAGAGTAGAACTACCTCTTTTCAAGTTTCTGAGCCTGTAACTCTTTATGGGAGTAGAAGGCCCATCTTTCTCCTGAAGACCCTCTGGTGGTTTCAAACTGCTGAGCTTGTAGATTGCAGCCCAGAGCATAACCATGACACTAACCAGGGCTCCTTCATGAAGGCAGCAGATAGAATTAAAGTTGCTCATCAACTGACCTTAGAGAGATGACCTTGGATTTTTTGAGTAGACTTAGTGTCTGTGTTCTCTCTCTCTCTCTCTCTCTCTCTCTACACACACACACACACACACATACACACACCCCAACACCATTGCCATTAGATAAGTCTGACTTACAGCTACCCCATAGGACAGAGTAAAACTACCACATTGGGCAAGAGAGACATTGGTCATATAAGACATGACAAATTTTTATATGTTGTCAATGGTTCATGAGGGAGGGAAGGTGGGAGTGGGATGTAGAAAAAATGGGGAGCTGATACCAAGGGCTCAAGGAGAAAGAAAATGTTTTGAGAATGATGATGGCAACAAATGTACAAATGTGCTTGACACAATGGATGGATGGATGGATTGATGGATTGTGATAAGAGCTGCACAAGCCCCCAATAAAATAATTAATTAAAAATACCCTACCCCATAGGGGTTCCAAGTCTGTAATCTTTATGGGAGCCGAATGCCACCTCTTTCTCCAAAGGAAGAGGGCAGCAGAAGAGAAGTTTCCAGTGATGTGAAGAATGGGGTCCAAGGAATGTGGAAGCTGGAGAAGGCAAGGGGACCAATTCTCTCTGAGACTCTCGGACACCCACAGCCAGCACCTTGACGCTCACCAAGACCCAAGCAAGCTTCCTGACCTCTGCAACTGGAAGGCAATACATTTGTGAAGTTCTAAACCACAGTTTAGAAACCGCAGCTATGAAAACAAACAGCTCTCTTATCCTCCTGGGCTTTGAAGAGTGGACATGTTACATATAGGTTATATGAAGTGAACGTGTAGGTGGATTTAGGCAGTGAATTATTCTTGCCTTAGTCAAGTGAGTCTTTGGAATATGGATCAAACATATAAAAATAAAGCCCTGAATTTACATCCACTGGGCCTGAGAAGGCTGTGGTTTAGGCGATGACTGCTAACCACAAAGTCAGTGGTTCAAACCTACTAGCTGTTCCCCAGAAGAAAGATGAGGCTGTCTGTTCCAATAAAGATTTAGAGCCTTGGAAACACTATCTGGCACTGCTATGTGTCAGAGTAGACTTGATGGTAGTGGGTTTTGGGGTTAGCCAAAGGTCCCTGGGTGTTGTATCAGTTGGTGCTTGGCTTCTAACCAAAAGGTTGATGGTTTGAACCCACACCGTGGTCCTCAGAAGGAAAACCCAGAGATCTGCTTTCATCAACATGACAGCCAAGAACCCCCCCATGGAGCAGTGCTACATTATAATGTGTGTGGTCACTAGTGGCTGGAGTCCGTTCATGGGGAGTAGGGTTGCTTTGGTCCCTAGAAGTGAAATTTGCCCCCCCCTTTAGCATGCATACTGTGCAGTGGGCTGCTGCTGGTGTGACTGTGGCTCACACTGTGGATGTTGTGGCTCTCATTCTTTAGGTTACAGGGTTAGAGGCCATCTATTATGGGACTGGCATTTTCATGGATGCTCACAATAGCATTTTCAGTGGGGCATTGTTGAAACACAATGTTCCTAGCACGGAAGGAAATTAATTGAAGACAGTTCTCCCCGCAAATGGCAGTGACAGAAGAGTAGGTGCCTCTCCTGGCTGCAAGACACTCAGGGGGAGGGATTCTAGTGGCCAGCCTCTCTAATTTTCGAGATGAGACCATCCAGATATGCATGTTATTTAGACTACCAGCAATCACATTCTCCTTGGTGCAGTGAGGGCCTCATCCTTTGATTTTATAAATTATAGATATGGGTATCGGTATAGATATATAGGTATACCCATATATACACATACATATCTACAGGGTCACTATGAGTAGCAATCAACTTGATGGTGTTGAGTTTGGAGTTCTTATACACACATATTTAGCATGTGCTAATTCAACATTTTCAGGTGTACAATTCAGTGATACTGACTACATATCCATCATGTTGCCCAACCATCAGCCCTAGTCAAATATTCCATCACCAGAAAGAGAAATTTACTGCTTCTTCCACATTGACTCCCTCTGTCCCCCTACCTCCCATCCTTTGTGGTCACTTACCTTGAACTCTGTGCACGTGCCTTGTTATCTTGTTATCTCATGTCGAGGAGCTCAGGTGGTGATGGGGATTTCTCTCTGGGCTGCTAACTGGTCAGCAGTTCAGAATTACCAGTCACCCTGGAACTTTACCAGTTTTGGAACTATTGCTTCCATAAAGATGTCCAGTCTCAGAAACCCCAGGGGACAGTTCTACCCTGTCCTATTGAGTCGCCAGGAGTCGAAACCCACTGGACAGTCGTGAGTGAGTGAATGCTACCTCACACAGTATTTTCCCTATCGTGACTGACTTCTTTCACCCAGCAAGCTTCATTGCCACCGTAGTGTGTGTGTCAGAGCTTCATTTCTTCAACAGAGTCCTCGCCTTTGGCTCTGTCCTCTCAGCCCAGGAGAGGCCACCTCATTTTCCTGGGGCCTTTCTCTGACCGCTCCTGGCAGAACCCTGAGCAAGGGCCTCCTTTCTACCCACCCCCCCTCCTGCTCAGATTTCCTGATCTATCTGCTCATCTGAATTCCCAGGGACAGCTAAGTGCAGCTGTAATCTCCACGTGTCCATCTGTGTCGGCGGATTACTGTGCACCGGTGTTCTAGTTTCCCAATAACTCGCCTACAGGAGTCATTCTCCAATGGTGGGACGTTTGCTAGGTCCAGTAGAAGACGAGTTGAGAGGGGGGTGTCACTCGCCTCACGCCCAGATGTGTAGCAGAGGGGAGATGAATTGCTCTGGCTACGGCGAAGGTGGAGTCCTTGGGTGGTGTGAACACAGGCTTGACTGCTAACCAGAGATGCCTCGGAAGTGAGGCCTGGCTATCTAACGTCCCCAGTGCAGCCACTGGCAGCCCTGTGTAATACAGGTCCACTCCGACTCACCTGGGGTGGTCATGAGCTGGCAGTGATACAGTAATAACTTAAAGCCCAAACAAAACGATTGTCCCTTTGGGGAGAAAGGCGAGGCTCTCGACTCCTGTGAACAGCCACAGTCTCAGAAACTCATAGGGTCCTATCGGGTCCCTATCGGTCAGAATTGACCCCAGGGCTGTGTGTACTGGAATGAAGTACACATTCATCCTTTGAATGAAGGGGTGCATGGTAGGAACCCTGGGCGCTAAGAGGTTCAGCCCTCAGATCCTAATCAAAAGGTCAATGATTTGAACCCACTAGTGGCTCGGCAGAAGAAAAGAGCTGGCCATCTGCTCCTAGCGAGATCAAAGGCTTGGGAACCTGTTCCCCTCTGTCCTACCAGGTTGCTGTGCGTCATGGTTAACTCAAGAGCCCCTCGACTCGTTGCTTTATTTTAGCTTGGTATGGACAGGGGGTCTCACTTTCTATGGCCATGAGTGGAATGACTTGACCTAAACATTAACACGATTTGAAATGAAAACAGACGCCATGCTTTGGCAGCTCCTTTGAAGCCACGCCCACTCACCTCACTGTGCACAAGCAAAGAAGCGCCCCTCCCCCCCGCACCCCCTCCCCACCCCAAGTGTGGATGGACCCTGCTGCCAGCTGACGCTTGAATCTTCACGCGGTGGGAATGGCTGGTCTTGGCCCATCGGGCTGCCTGTTTGTAAGAGGCACAGTCTCCTGCGCATTATTTCAGGTTCCGTGTCGCTGTTAACCCGTCCGCCTGGCTAACCTCAAGTGTTTTCCCTTCTTGTTTTCCCTGTTGTCTTAGCTGGGCTTCGGATCTTTCTTGGGAATCATTGGCATCCACCTGGTAGAGAACAGAAGGCAGATGGTAAGAACACCCAGGATCTCTTTGAAATGGGGGTGGGCATGGGGTGGGGTGTCCACTCCTTGGTAGCGAACGTGGCAGCTGCTGTGGGTGTTTCCAGGAAAGGACCACCTCAATCAGGACCATTGCTATGGACCCCCCAGGTCATGCCCTGTACAACCTTAGACTCTAGAGCAGGGGTCCTCAAACTTTTAAAACAGGGGGCCAGTTCACGGTCCCTCAGACTCGTTGGAGGGCCGGACTATAGTTTTAAAAAAACTATGAACAAATTCCTATGCACACTGCACATATCTTATTTTGAAGTAAAAAAACAAACGGGGCAAAAACACCCGGCG